TCCCTTCCCTTCCCTTCCCTTCCCTTCCCTTCCCTTCCCTTCCCTTCCCTTCCCTTCCCTTCCTTCCTTCCTTTCCTTTCCTTTTTGGCTATAAGGAAAATAGGGAAAATGCACTAGTCAGAGAGAGAAAGAGAGTGGGAAAGTGAGAAATGATCTTCTGGGGGGATGGCCATGTCACAATCTTATCTCCATTCTCTTCTTGGTATTTTGGACATGTACACACATGTGACTTTTAAGCCACTGGGTCCAGGACTCGAACCACCCAGTTAGCCATGTAGGATCTGTGCCTTAAACTCCAGACCACTGGCCCCTATCCTTTGTTTTCAACCTCTAAGAACAAGACCACTGTCTACATTCCTTTTTCACTCAGTTCTACCCACATAGACATTTTGGGGATGCTTGGGGCCTCAGCAGGGTTGCCCAGGTCTGCAGTCTCTTCCAGGGGCTCTTGCCTGGCTCTCTAGGAGGAAGGAAGGGATTCTCAAATCCCAGGAGGGCAAAGCAGGACCTTTGAGTTTGGGGTTGTCTAGTTCTTACCGAATTGATCCAGTCGATGTAGTTGGAGACCCGTGTGAAGACAGAGGGCTTGTGGTAGTAGTTGCAACCAAGGGAGGACCCAAAGCTGACCACGCCATGCACTTCCCACTGGCCGTTGGCCGCCTGGCAGTTCAGCGGCCCACCAGAGTCCCCCTGAGAAAGGCCAGAGTTGGGAGTGTGATGGGAGGGGCAGGAGCTGCCCATGAAAACCCTCGCCCCGGTGTGTTTAGAGTATTCTGCTGTGGGTCACCCTGCTCTCTGAGGCCAGTCCTCGCGGTACAGCTCAGGGTGTAACCGTCAGACTAACAGGAGCTAACACGTGTTCTTCCGTGTGCCCAGAGACAGCTAAGCACGCTCTGTGCCTTATCTCATTTAATCCCACTAAAACCTCGGAGGTCAATATTGTCAGTTTCCACAGCTCGCTGAAGAGGAAAAGCTAGTCCCAGAGGCTGTGATTTGCTTGAGGTTGTCCAGGCAGGTCTCAGCAGAGCTGCAACCACCTCCCAGAGTTAAGCTGCCATGCTCTTAAGCAGCGCTGGCTATGTCCTCCCACCATGAGGGAGTTTCAGGGTGGCTACTGAGCAGAGAGTGTAGGGGCACAGGGTGATCTGAAGACACATGAAGCTCCTCCCCACTCTGCCCCACTCCACTGTAGACTGCACCATACTGCAATGCCTTTGGTTAAAACACCATCTCCAGGAAAGCTTCTATGGCAGCTACTTTAAGGGTTCGCACTGGGCCATTAAAGGGATTAATTCAACAGATAATCTAGAAGCCACCTTAAGGAGGCCTTAACCCAGAGAAAGCTTCCCCTGAATCCCTTCCTACGGAGAGGAAAGAGGGATGACCAAGAGGGATGACCGTCATGGAGGACTTCCTAGCAGTGAGGGGGGTGGGCCCTGTAAGGAGAACCTCAAAACAGCTCTCTGGGGACTACAAGGACAAAGGTCAGGTCCTGAATGTCTGGAGCTGTTTCTAGGTGCTTCTGCCAGGAGGTGGGAGGACGAATACTGGGATTCCCAGAGCCCCTGCCCATCCCCAGCCACGTTTTGTGGTGGAGAGAGGGCACCTGATTTTCGCACTCACGTTGCAGCTGGAGATCACGCCATCGCCGCCCGCACAGACCATGTTGGTCTTCACGGAGCTGCCCCACCAGCCAGGGCTGGAACACGTGGCGTAGTCCACCACCAGCAACTGGCCCTCCTGCAGGATGTCCGGAAGAGCCCCATTGGCTAGAAGAGACCAGAGAGAAGGTGTTACAGGGACAAAGGGACTCCTGAGAAAAAAGGAAGTAGTGGACACCTACTGTTTTTTCTCTCTAGCCCCTTCCTTTTTTTTTTCTTTTTAATAATTATTTATTTAATTTTATTTATTCACTCATTTATTTTAATTTGACCAGAGAGAGATACAGAGGAGGAAAGAGAGAAAGGGAAAGTGAGAAAGGAAGCCACCAGATCCAAGACTTGACCCGTGGTCGACCATGTGGGAGTGTCCAGCACCTTAACTACCACGCCACCTGCTGGTCCCTCTAGCCCCTTTCTTTCTGGCCCGTTATGTTCTTCCACCCATCGGGTTATGATGGCGGTAGCCATGTTTGTCTAACATGTCCTCACAGTTGATTGGTTATTGTTCTGTCCGTTGGTGATTGGTTCAGGGCTGAACCTCGACCCAACCTAAACCAATGAGCTTTTTCTCCTGAGAATGTGGGCGGGAGACTGAGAAATCTTAGCTGAGACCATGTAAACCTGGGAGATGTTGGCCGTAGCCACCGTTTTCTTCTATGCAGAGAAAGTTGCAGGAAAGAAATTCTGAGGGGCGCTTCTTCATTTGTTATTTTAGTTCTGTTATAGGGCACATGCACTTGTGAGGAGGGAGAGAGAAAGAGAGATAAAGAGAGAGAAAGAAATCCCCTCCCCCTATGGGGATGACCACACCTCAATCCTTTTTCCTCCATTCTCTCGGGATTTGGGGCACAAACACACACAGATCTGGAGTGTTTTCCAGATGGCAGGTCTGGGACTTGAACCACACAGTTGGCCTTGTGGGATCTAGCTGCTTTAACCACCACGCCACTGGCTCACCCCAGGGTTCTTGGGTGGTTTTTAGGGAAAAAAAAAGTCTGATTTCTAAGAATCTTCTTCTAGTCCCTGGTTATAGCTTGTTCCTAATGTCTGGCTGTGTCTCTGTCCATGGGGTAAGATTCTTAAATCCTTATAACAAATTCCCCATTTTGCTGAACCAACGTCATGGATTTCTGCGACTTATCTTTTTTTTCTTCTCTTTTGGAGAGTTTTTTTTTTTTGCTATAGGGTGCCTGTGCTCGCCAGAAAGAGAGAGACAGAGACAGAAAGTGAGAAATCACCCCCTGGGGGTATGGCCACACCACAATCCCTTCTTCTCCGTTCTCCTCTTGGGATCTGGGCACACACGCACACGTGCCGGCATGAGTTTAAGCCACTGGGTCCTGGATTCGAACCGTGGTTGACTACATGGGAGTCCAGCGACACAGCCATTATGCCAACTGCTGCTCCCTCCTGACTTATCTTAACTGTGAGACTGCAGCTGCTGGCATTCGAAACCCTCTGGTTGGAAAAGCGTTGTGATCCGGTGAAGGTAGAATTATGCTCGTGGCTCGGATCATCATCTCAATTACTAGTACCACCGCTACTAATGGCAAGGATCAGCGTCACTGTGAGTCTCACCTGTGCTTTCCTTGGTTTTTCAAAATATGCTAAATTTCATAGTAACTGTATTCTAGTTTGACAGTTGGGACACTGAGCCCAATGAAGGTAAGTGCTTGCCCAGGACCCTCTGGTTAGCAGGTAATAAACACTTGGTAGCATGTGGCAATGTAGCATTCATTTTCAGGTGTCATTTCTTTCTTTCTTTCTTTCTTTTTTTTTTTTTAAGAAGTTTTTGCTATAGGGCGCATGCACTTCCTGGACAGAGAGAGCGAGACAGAGAGATAGAAAGCGAGAAATCACCCCCCAGGGGGGATGGCCACACCGCAATCCCTTCTCCTCCATTCTCCTCTCAGGATCTTGGGCATCCATGCACACGTGCCCGGCGTGAGTTTAAGCCACCGGGTCCAGGATGCGAACTGTGGTCGACTACGTGGGAGTCCAGCAACATAGCCATTACGCTAACTGCTGGTCCCAGGTGTCATTTCTTTTCATCTTACTTCCCCTACCTCCTTGCTCTGTCTCTCTCTGGCAAATACGCATATCCTATAGTGAACTAAAAAAAAATGCAAGAACAACCCATTTCACTTGCATTTTATGGATCAGGACACGAAGGTTCCAAAGTGTCTTGCCCGAAGTTACCCAGTGACTGACAGAGCTGGGCCCCAAACCTAAGAATTGGAATTCCCCCTGGCGCTAGCTCTCTCAGAGGAAGTATACTCTGCCCTCGTGTTTGCTGGGTAAACAAACAGGTGGTTGTTCTTGTGTGTGTCTCTCTTTTTATTCTATTTGTTATAGGGTATGTGTATTTGCCAGAGAGAGAGACAGAGAAATGGGGGGCGGGGTAGAGGAAGTGAGAAAGTGCCCCAAAGGGGTGGTCATGCCACATTCCCTTCTCCTCCATTCTCCTCTTGGAATTTGGGGCACACATGCACACTTGTTCAGTGTGTTTGTCACACCACAGGTTGATGAGGGGGTGGCAATCCCTGGATGGACAGGGATGCCATCACCTCCCTCCCCTCTCAGGCCTTGGGGCTCAGCTCCCACTTACTCTGCAGCCTTCCCCAGCCCGTGACGTAGCAGGGGTAGTTGTTGGGTAGAATGGTGCCGGCAGGTGGGAGGCAGGCCAGCTGGATCTTGTCGGTCAGCGTGACAGGCTCGGCCAGTTTGAGCAGGGCAATGTCATTCCTGTGTCAGTAAAGAGCAGACCGTGGAGAGAGGGTTGGCTTTCTCTGTCCTGGGGACTTCAGAGAGCTCTGAGACCCTTGTCATCTTTCTGTGCTCATTCTCCCCAGGCTGTCCTAGCCAGCCGGCTATCAGGACATCTTTGACATTGTTAAAGGCCTTGCTGAGAAGGGGCCTGGGGAGGGAGGAGGTCAAGAGAGACCGACCTACCCCTCGGTTGCCCTGGGGTCTGCCCCACCCTCCCTGTGTTCCCAGGCTGGGCATGGAGCAGATACATGGTAGGTGAGAGCCTGGGGTGGGGGGTCCTGCAGGCTTACCTGGCAGGAGCCTCAGGTAGCCCTGACAGCCTTTGCTTCTCCCTGCCCCATTTCACACCCCACCCCAGGCATCCCTTGCTCCACCTCTAAGAAGTAGAAGGAGCACAGGAGGGGGTGACTTGAGCTCACTGCCTCTGAGACCTCCATCTGTCCCCCAGTCAACCCCACTGCCGAGCGTACCCTTTAGAGAGCTGGCTGGAGTTCCAGTCCTCGTGCACCACAAGCTTGGAAACTTGGACAGCCAGCGAGCCGGACTCGTCAGTGGAGAGGCTGGGCCGGCCCACACACACACGGGAGGGGCTCGGAGGGCC